TCCCAGCATCGATCCCAAAACAACACTACTAGTCACAACCCTCCATTCCGAAAAGCATCCTTCCACTGCTATCCTCTGTTTCCTATGACTAAACCAATTCTGTATCCATCTTGCCAGCTCACCCCTGATACCATGTGACTTCACCTTTTCTACCAGTCTGCCATGAGGGACCTTGTCAGATGCTTTACTACAGTCCATGTAAACAATGTCAATCACTTTCCCTCAATCATCAGTTCCTGTCCTTTTGAGCTGTAGTCTTTTCCTTGAATCCACATACATCCTGAGATCCAAGACCTTCTCAGTTTTAAATTAAAAAAAGAATGTCTAACTATACACTCCTGCTCTGAAAGTTTCACAAACTACGCTCTTTTACTGACATAATGTATTTCCTAAACTACTGTCAGCAATCTCCTTTATTTTGGAGACTGTAGTGACATCTGACTTAATTCAGTTCTGCCTCAACTGCCCTATAGCTAATCAATCTGAGTTTTAGTAAGCGAAAATCAATCCTTGATTATTCTAAACCTAAAAGAAAGCTAATTTTTTAATGTCTTCTCTCCTGTCATAAATCCTCACAATATAAACAAACTTCAATTAACATGCCAGGAAAAACATACTTATTTACAATCCAGAAAGACTGACCTAGACTGACAGTCCCATCTTTTGGCAGGATCCAGCTAGGAAAAGAACAGCAGAGAGCATATACAGCATACTAGCCATCAGGCCCAGTCTATATGCAAATATTTCTGCTCCATTTCAGCCACCTCCCCTATTTCCTTATTTAATTGTATCACCACAACCCTTGACTCCCTTTTCCGTCATATCCTTATCTAGAGTCCCCTTAATTGCATTTCTGCTGTTTGCTTCAACTTTTGTCTGATAGTGAATTTCACATTTTCATCACACTCTGGGTAAATACTTCTGAATACTTGCGAATTTTTATTCCTCGGTGACCACCTAATATTGATTATCTCTAGTTTTATTCCTCTTCAGAAGTGGAAATACACAATCTTGGAGAGTGCACTATTGAAACCTTTCACAACTTTAAAGACCTTTATTCGGACACCCTTCAATTTTCTCTTTTCAAGGGAAAAGAGACTATGGTATTCATCTTACCCTTATAAGTATCACCTTACACTCTTATTTCATCCTTATAAATCCTCTTTGTATCCTTTCAGTGCCTTTAATATTGTTTTATATTCTAGAGACCAAAACAGTACACACCGCTCCAAGTGTAGTCTATCCATGATTTGAGATAAGTTTAGCATAACTCCTCCACTGTTCACTTCTGTCCTGCTAGAAACATTTACACTTGGTTTGCTTTTTATATGGCCATCTTAACCTCTGAATAAAAACACTAAGTGTTGGAAAATACTCAGTTCACAACCTGAAACATTGCACTCAATTTTCTCACTTTTGGGAGAGTGTCTTTTTAAGTGAAATTCATGGCTGGCGGTCCGCAATAGCACATGCCAACTTTCCACAACCAGACCTCTGTTCTTCACGTCTCAATTATGGAGCGCCTCTCGGGTGCTCAGCTGATGCAGTCATGTGACAAAATAGGCAGAAGTGCTTACATACACACTCCCACCATGTGTAACCTTCAATCCCATCATGACACTTTATATTGTCCACTTGTGGATGTTTAAATTTAGAATTAATTTGTATAGGTTATTATTACGATTTTGTTTGAATGATGAGAGCATTTTTTTGAAGTTCACTGGGAGTTTTTGTCAAAGGTAAAGACATAGCTTGAGTTTGCTTTCTTTATGCAAGTACAGAACAGAAACCAAAACATACATGGAGAATATCATGATTAGAGGTAGAGGTAAAGACAATTTACTCAGCAATGAAAGATTTGATTATAGGGGCTTAATCTAATGCAAAGTAAAATTTCTAACCAACTAGACCAGTTTCTGCAATCCTTTTACAATTACTGATGTATAAGGTGATGATTCTGAAGGGGGTTCACACTAAGGCAGCATGGTGGCTCAGTGGTTAGCGCTGCTGCCTCACAGTGCCAGGGACCCGGGTTTGATTTCACCCTCGGGTGACTGTTTGTGTGGAGTTTGTACATTCTCCCCATGTGTGTCGGTTTCCTCCGGGTGCTCCAGTTTCGTCCCACAGTCCAAAGATGTGCAGGCTAGGTGGATTGGCCATACTAAATTGCCTGTAGTGTTGAGGGATGTGTAGATTAGGTGGGTTATAGGGGGATGGGTCTAGGTGGGATGCTGTGAGGGTCAGTATGGACTTGTTGGGTCGAAGGGCCTGTTTCCACACTGTAGGGATTCTATGATAATGTTACATTGGCTCCTCTATTGTACTGACATCACACACTTAACAGGTGGAGGCAAGATGTTCCACTCTAGTTTTCAGAAGGAGCAGGTTTGTCAGTTCTAACTCCCTAAGCTCCTAATAATTATGCTTGACCAGAAATAGGTGTACTTCTATCTTGCAATAAACCTTTTGTTTATCTAAGAGCAGTGCCTCTTTTGTAGATATTTTATGGTCTTTCTACCATTAATCCCTGAATAGACCCAAGACAAAACAACATCAAAGGATTGGTGGCAGTGAACTATCTGAAGCAACCCTGACCCAATACCACATACTGGTAGAGGTAGCAAATGCTACACTGTACCAAGAGTGGTTATCAGGGAAAATACCATATGGTTGCAGAAATGTGAATCTGACACCCATCACAAGAAAAAATACAGAAGAAAAGGAAGAAAACCACTCTAAAACTAAGTGCATTGTATTTTTTTTTTTAAAAATGCAGTCAGTCAGCTACTGAAATGTAATTATCAATATACAGCGTGATAGCATCAGCCAAATATCAAAAAGACAAGCTCAGCTCTCTAAAGACAAGACTTCATTCTGAAACTAGTAGGAAATACTGGGACAGAAGTCGAGATGGGCAGAAGAGAGAAAAGCCAGTCACGTTTGGGAAATACAGGGGGTTCTGCTGTAACACGTGTTCTGGCAATGCAAATTGGCTATACTGCAAGTGACGAACAGGGGAATGCTATTTCTAAAACACAAACTTATGTTGGCTATAACGCGATTCGATTGATTCCACCCTTTCTTCTTCAACCCATGGACCAGGGTGCAATAACAGCTTTTAAAGCTTATTATTTAAGGCGCACATTTAAAGAGGCTGATTGCAGCCACTGTGCGGGATAAGGACAATATTCTTCCGTTTTGGAAGAGCTTTAACATCAAGAATGCAATTGAGATTATCATGGAGGCCTGAGATGATGTCAGTAAGGACTGCTTGCATGCAGTTTGGCAGAAGCTTCTCCCAGATGGTTTTAAAATCTTGAAAAACTTTGATCGGTCAGAGGAGCTCCCAAGAATCAAAGAACATTGTGTTGATCTTGCAAAGCAAGTTGGATTTGAAGAAGTGGAGAGTGAGGAGGTTGAAGAGCTGCTTGAGTCCCACTGTGAATAAGGTTTTATTTGGCACCCTATGAACAGCTTCAAGAAAGAAGAAAAAGGGCAAAGCAGCAAAAACCGGATGTCTTTTTTAAGCCAACCCCCAACAAACAGTCAGAAGACAATGAACCACAGCCATCCACTTCTGTATTAACTACTTTTTGCCGTAACCCTGCAACCACAACCCTGCACCTGAAGATGATGATGACGACGATGACCTTCAGCCCCTGAAATAACAACAGAGCAATCTCAAAACCACCTTCCCCCATCAAGGCATCTTGACATTTTTCTCAAGATGTTAAATTTACTTTTATTTCATTATTAGATAGGAATTAAATATTTATTCAAATTGTGCTATCCTTTGTGTTAAGGCCTCAGTGATATTTTTTATGGTGGTCTGCCCCAACCCTGCTTTTCCCAAAGGTTCTGTTACTTCTATAGCGCCATTTTATGTAACACAATGTTGAGCAGGAATGCAGCTATCACATTAAAGCAGAACTGACTGTACAGAAGCCTTGGTGAAGGTGCTGTCTATGAGGAGCAACCAAAGGCAAAATTAGGTGAAAAATTATACAAAGACCAGAAAGGAAAGGCAAAGAGTACAAAAAAGAGAGTTCTCACCCCTCAGAACAAGCATAGCTACCATTAACAATCAGCTCATGTGATGGTGCTGCAGCAAGGAACAGTGAAAGGGCCAGAAAAGAAATTTTGTCTGGGGCTAAAGATTGGGAAAGTCCTCAAATTATTTCTGCTTAAACTAAGTAAGTTCAAAGAATCTAGTGAAAGTCTATCAGAAGAACAAAAGTCAGGAAAAATTTAGATTTAAAAGCACAAGAACTCATTAACTAAGCCATGATTTCAGCAGGAAGATTTAAGAGATCAGGGAAGGGAATAGTTACAGCAGCAGGTAAATAAATTGTATGTGAATTACATTCTCACTTCAAACAGTTTAAGTGCAGTGAGTACTATTCTACTTCACTGTGTTCTTAAAGTAGCTGCTCACTGGGGTCAGGCTGCAATTATGCTATAACTGAACTAAAATAAATTCTCACCAATGCCACAGACAAAATGCAAAACGTGCATAACAGAGCAGACTAATTTTGGCATGCAAACTCTGCTGTTGTGAATTATTTGTTATTGACCTTATGAATGTAAAATTATGTCACAAATGCACAAGTCCGTGCTACCACCAGCATAACTCCACTCAGTGGTCAATATTTTTAAATTGAAGACGATGATAATGACCAGCCTAACAGCCACCAGCTGTACTAAAGAATACCCAAACATTCAGATTATTCTGATCCATATTAAATTCTGAGGTCACATGTTTAGTGTCAATCAGAATAATAGAGCATAGAAAGACGCAATATTGCCCATCGGGCTTGTGCAACATGCAAAAAACATTAAGCTGTTTTCGTGAGATTAGTTGTAATGTTTACCAATGTTAAATGTTAAGTGATGTAAAACTGATCTTCTAGCTCAAGCACAGAATCCAATTTCTAGACTCCTTTGTTTATAAAAATATATAGAGAACCTGTGGTCTGACATTTAATCATCTAATTCTGCAGTTGGCAAATATGATCCTGCCTGAAGATGAAAACTTTCTTCTTCTGTTCCGACGTGAGACTCCATTGGACAATAGTGTGGATTTCATGCGGGTATGTAAGCAGCCTTTGGGTTAGAAGTGGAGGCTGATAATTCATATCTCACACATCTCATAATAAACTGTGGGACAAAACTCTTATGCATAATTTATTCAGGCATTGAGCTAACAAATGCTGCAAGACTCTTCACTAATTTATTACTTTAGAGCAGAGACTAATTTTCTTTTGAACAGGCTCACCTCAGGGCCATACTTTCTTAGAACAAAGAACTAGCTTTTAGACTATGAAACATTCATGTAGCCCCCATCTGAACCTTTTCCAATGTCGCTAAAACACCACCAAATGGATGTATCAGAGCCAGACATCATAATATACATGTGGTTTGATCAGTTACAAAATGATGTCCCTTGATTGATATTCTACAGTTCTATTCATATATCCCACTACCTTGTTCGTTTAACTAATGTTTCGGTGCATTGGTCATGAAGCTCCAATGATCTGTACAAAAAGACCAAAATCTTTTTCTCAGTTGATTCATTTCAGTATTGTTACTTATAAAATATGAATGTATTTTATGTTGATCCAACGAACATGTGTGAGACTACGTTTATTGAAGTCACATACTATAGCCCACTTCCCTAGCAAATCTTTATGAATGTTATTGCACTGTTCTACCATGTAAAATCTTGCACAGTCATTGGTATCATCTGCAAACTTTCTACACCTGAAACACTTTAACCATCTGTAAAAGATAGTGAAGCGTAGAAGTTTGAAGACCAATCCATGGGCAACAGCAGCAGTTAACACATTTCCAAGCTGAGCCACATTTGTCAATTGCAGCATTTTAGTAAAAGGATTGGAGTTAATTCCTCAAAATTCCGTTGATCTTACTTGTCTTGGAATGAGTTTTGTCCAATCTTTGGTGACTTATGAAATCATTTAGAAATTTTAGTCTGCCATGTCTGTGTCCAAACAATTGATGCACTTGTACCATTTGTGTCTGTTATAGTGAGACACGTATATTAATCTGCAATGTAACTTCTGCCAGTCAGAAACAGCAAATAACTATGGTATCCTATATATGAGCAAAATGCAGAAAGCCCAGCAGGAAGTGAACTTGCGTAGACATTGGTGAAGACAGAATAAAGTTTGATTCTAATTCCACTCCAACCCTGCCCCACATCCCATGCTGAACAATTAAGTATTTGGTGTCCCTGAAGCTATTCAAATTGTGGCCTAGAAATCCAAGCACAAAATACAATACCTGTCTAAATGGCGAGATTGATTACACCCTGGGCCACTTGTAAGTGGAAAGAGCAAACCTCACACAAATCCAGACTGAATGCGGGCTGCTGCAAGATAAGGCAAGTGAAGATGGGCAAATATTAATCACCAGGCTAGTGTCAGGGAGAATTAGGTGTGGAGATTTGGGGATCATTACATGGACTGTGGCGGCATCAGTTAGTGAGGTTGTCATGTTGGAGGGAATCAGTGACTGGTAGAGAGCAGGTAAGTGATCTTTCAGTGTGAGGTTATGAGAAATGTTCCTGCTCTTCCCAGCTTTACAATTGTATAAGTATTAATTCCATCTTGCTTCTTGGAGCCACCTTATGCTGTGTGACTTAGACTCTGTAGGACTATTTTTTTTTCCCCCAAGTACACATTGGCAGTTGGGAAGTTTGCCCATTGGTTTCATATTGATCAATGATGCAAAATATGACCGAGGCTCCTAGCTGGCAGGGTAACTTCATTAAATCAACCACTTAATTTCATATACTTATAAGGTTTGCCTTGAAGATTGATGACATTTTGAAATGGAAACATTACTCTGACGCAAAGAATTTTCAGCCCAAGGTTGCAATAAAGGGGGAGACAATTTGAAAAAGTGATGAAGGATCAATAGAAGGCAAAAAAAAAATCATAAAGACTGAGGTAAAAGAAAGCTATTTTGGATAAATCAGGTTATCAGATAAGAACAAAAGAAGTTCTTCAAAGTTTCTACTTTAATGCCCCAAATATTGGGGAATCAGTGGGAGTAGATGATGATCAAGAGTATTCTGTGCTATGTCCTGACCGTGAACATCTTAAAGGTTACCAATGACCAGAAATTTAACTGGACCAGCCATATAAATACTTTGATTAGAAGAGCAGGTCAGAGGCTATGAATTCTTGATGTGTGGCCCTTCATCTATAAATCATTTGTCAGGATGGCTGCAGCTGTAACCATACTCTAGAAGCTCAACATCCATCCAGGACAAAGAATCTTGCTTTTATAGCACCCCAGCTACCACAAAGAACATTCACACCTTCCCATTGTCAGTTCACCAATTATGCACTGCAGCAACCTGCCAAAATTTCTTCGACAAAACTGTAACTCAGCCACCTAGAACAAGGGCAGCAGGTATACATGAACAGTACAACCTGCAAATAACCCTCCAAGTTGCTCAGCAGCATGACTTAGAAATACAGATTATCTTTATTCCTTCATCAGTGGGTCAAAGTACTAGAACTTCCTACCTTACACAAATTTGAGTGTACCTGGCAGGGAGAGGACCGCAGGGGTTCAAGAATGCGATTGGTCCATCACCATCTTTTCTCGAAGTGAAAAGAATGGGCAGCCAATTCTGGCTTTGCCAGTGATGTCCGCATCCCATTGATGAACAAAACAAAAAAAAAAAAAACTCACACCAGTATTTGAAGAAGTGGAGAACATTCTCCAATACTTATCCCTGAAACAGCGCGATTATTTTCACATTGTTTTTTATGGGAACTTGCTGAACAAAAAGAGTCTGCCATTATTTTCGATATTACAACAGTACTGCTCTGTTGGATTTTGAACGTCCTGAGGTCATGAAAGTGCTTTATAAAGATGTCTATTTTTTAAACCACCTATCATGAGTTGCATGAACTACACTTTGGTATACAAAGTTGTACTGGAAAAAATCAAAACATGCAAGGTCAATGAACCCAGATTCTGATTTCTGCCATACTACAAAAGACCCAAACTAACTGAAATTGTTTTCAGTAGTGATCTGTCCAATCTTGATTTAAGGTTGTTTCATTCAATGTTTTGTTTATTCAATCCTTTTTAAGTGCTGAAGACTTACTATGTTGTTCTAATCATTTTACTTGGCTCAAATTACTAAATTTTGACAAAAAATAATTTCATTCTATCAATAGTTGTTGAGACGCATCTTGAGAAATTTGAAGATTTCAATCAAACATACTAGTGAGTTTTGAAGTCATTGGTGGTTGAAATAATAATTGGACCAACAATTAAGATATAATTGTAATGGAAGTCGATGCTTAATGGATGATACATGAACCCTGCTTTGTGCACCTACCGCAAGAATATAAATATGATTGGTGTTGGAGTTTCCAAAACAATTAATTCCACTGTTGTCCTTTTCAGATCTGGCGTAAATATGATGAAGACAGCAGTGGATATATTTCAGCCACTGAACTCCGAGTAAGTCACATCTTTTGAGTAAGCACAGGTGTTATTCAAGTGATAGCATGATATCTGTGACATTCTCCACTGGCAATGATTTTTTTTTATTAATTGGCTAATTAGTGGCTTGAGGACAGGTTCTCAAAACTGGATAGCCAATAGAAAGGGATTTAGGTCTGATTAAAGAGAGAAATGCCCTATCTATTTTAAAAACTTCAAATCAGAAATGGCCTCACCAGCCAGGCTAAGATGGTGATGGGGATCGTCCCCAGGGTATTTGTAGCTGGAGCCATGGCCAGTCAGGCAAGAGTCTTGTATGCTAACTCACTGGCCCTCTGCTGGGAGGCCTCCAGGCAGCTAGCCTAGTTTCTGACAGCTTGGACAATCCGTAACCCATCTGAAAATTCCAATCAGCCTCGACAATAGGCCTAAATACAGCATTAACCCTGCTCAATTATCTACCCCTCTTGCAGGTGGTAATGGTTCGGGGGTGGGATTGTGCTAAAAAACCAGCACACCTGCCAACAGCATGTATGCTGCTTTCACACTCTCCCACTGTGACCCTGACATAGCCATATCTTCCCCTCTGTCCCCAAAATTAGATAACTTGTGATTCACAAAATGTACAGAAAAAGAGCCCTTTCGACCTACTCCAGCTGTGCCTCAGTTATGGTACTTTTTTTTTTAGAAATGAGCACGTTGTGAGTTCAAGCCCCCACATTCACCTTCCTAAACCCCCGCATTGGAGAATTTTTACACCAAATGTAATTTGACATTACAGTACAGTCCTGAAAGACCACTGCACCAGAGGTTCTATCTTTCAGAAGAAAAGTTAAACCGAGGCTTCATCTGTTTTCAGGATCACTTGGCCCAGTTTTGACGATGACCAGAGTGTCCTCCCATTGCTGGCCAATATTTATCTCTCAAGCAACATCACATGATAATACTATGTAGCGATTTGCACATTGTTAAATTTGAGATCTTCCTGTGCAAAAATTGAGTGCCATTTCTTACATTACAACAAAAAAGCAGTTCAGAATTAGTGAATTATCTGTAAGAAAATTTGGGACATTAAAGATCATTAAAATGTTTGTAGTCATTGACCTTTCAGAATTTAATTTAATGGCTGCTTTACTTTTTAAAATTATAAATGCTAAACAAGTAATAAATGTCTGATTGAGTTTGGTATTTTAAAAAAAAACAAACTTGTTCAAATTTAGAGTTTTAAATTTGTTTCAGCACTACTGTACTTCTGTATAACTTGTTACAGTAACACTCCTCTAATTCTCAGTTTTATGACTATTCATTTTATAACAGTATAATATGTTGCAAAGTTAGGAACCTATTGAGTTGAATCTTGTGGTCTGTATATTATGCATCCTCTAGAATTCCCAATATCAGTCATTATGTTGGATTAATAGTCAATACATAGCGTTTATGGTCAGGTTGTAGGCTTTATGCTCAATGTATTGTACTTATAATGATTGCTTAGAGTTTGTGGTCAACATACAAGTTTATAGTCGATGTGGAAGTGTTACAGGTCAGTGCGCAGAGTTTAGGGACAGGGCAGGAGATGTGTGACTCAGAGCATTGGGTATATGTCCCAGGGTCACAGAACTATTACAGTGCAGAAGGAAACTATTCTCTAAATGACCATTTTGTTAAGTGCAATTCTCCTGTCTTCTCCCTATAAATCCTACATAGTGCTTTGTTTCAAATAGAAGGCTATTCTCACTCAAATGCTTCAATTGAACCTACCTCCACCACACACTCGGGCAGTGCAATCCACTTGCTATATGACCATTTCTCCTGTTTAACACTGGGGCAGTGCCCTATAATTTGGCCCTTGTTATTCTCAAATATTCCTCCCCCCCAAAAGTTGGACGCGGTGTCCCAATTTACCTGACTTTCAGACCAAGGTTGATACAAAGTACGGATCAGGTTCTTACAAGAATTAGAACACGCATTATTATTTATTACAAGTAATTAGACTATTGCTACAGGTAAGAGATGTAAACCATTGGCATATAACACTACTAGACTAAACTCTAATGTCCTCACATTATCCCCTTACATGCAGACCCAAGACAAGTAAATAAGAAAAATAGATTTTTGACAGAGATAGCAAAACTGGAAAGTCAATTTAGTAGTCTTTGCTTTCCAGTTTTGATATTGAGGTGATCCTTCTTAGCCTGCCTAAATACCTTATTCAGATGTCTTTCTGTAGTTTGTAAGAAGTACAAAGTGACTGATAGATTCACTTGGAAAATGTCTCATCAGTTCAAAACCTTACAGGCACTGCAGCAGGAAAAGCAACTGGGTTTTTTTCAGGCTTAAACTGAGGATTTGATTGTGGAGAATAGGCAGCTTCTGGACTGGGAGAAGATCTGCACACTTCTTTCCTCTCTCTCTCTCTCTGTCTATCTGTATCTCCCTAACTTATTTCCAGATCCCAGCTGCTCAACCACCTGAGAACCAATTACACAGTTGTCAGTAAGGAAAAGGTCTCTGTCATTGATAACTGTCAGTAATCAACTTCTTATTGCCAACACAAACTACATTGGTGCACACCCTCTGCCCCTGATTGCCTGCAATGTGATGTCAATTACTGCTTGTTTAAACAGTTCTTTACAATCCCTATCAGGTTACTTGCTTGCAACCTCTATTTCAAACCCTGGTTTTCAAAACATTTTCTTATTTCAGTCCACAGTTCTTAAAAATGCAAAAAACACAAATCATGGTTCTTATACTTGTATTGCTTTTGCTTATTTTGCCAATTACTTTAAATCAGTGCATTCTAATAGTAAAAAATGTTAAAATAGCAGAATGTTCTCTCTTTATGGGTTCTGGAGATGTTCTTATTTGTTGCGTAGAATCCCTTTTCTGCCTGAGCTACATATTCCAGGTTCAGATCTTACTGTGTATACACAATGGCAGAAGACAGGTGTGTGGTTTAATCAAGCTTCTTTCCGGAGAATAATCAGTTTCTACAAGTACACTCACTAGTCCAACAGTTGGCCTTCACATCTACAAAAGTCCATTCTTGGGTGCTTAATCTGCCAAGCAAGACCTACTTCTTCACACCTTCAGTGGCTGACCAGACCATTCCTTCGAACTGCTGTTGTTTTTATTGTGAAGTATGTCCCTCGTGCCAATGGTCTCATCCACTTTAGGAAGTCAAACAATCATGACAGTCGTATTTATCCAATCACCTCTCAACTGGGATTATTGCAAGGTAGTTGTTGTATTTGCCTTTGCGCCTGCTCATCTAATGGGCCTTCTCCCACTTTAAACCACCATTTATTATTCAAAGTTTTCTTAAAAGTCTCACCTGTTATTTTGAGGTTCAGACAAAGAATAATAAATTCTTCCAAATTTTCGAAAAAGGAAAGCAATTCTTTTTAGTCCTTGTCTAACTACAGTAGCAATCATAAGCTGACCATTGTATATTTCTTCAGTCATTGTCGCCTTCCTCCCTTTAGCTTCCCTTTATTCATTCCCTTCACATGGGATTGCCATGAGTATATGAGTACAAAACCACTACAAAACACAAGCAGAAATTAGCACATATAACACTAGTGCTAAAAACTAATTACTATAAACATTAAGAAAAGGAATTTAAAATCTATATAAAAATAAGAAAGGGGTTGATCTTAGAATTCAATATTTATCCGATGATTGATTTTTATTTTTTATATCCTTTTTAACAGTCCTCCCCAGTTGAGCTTCTGTCCAGATCTGAGAGCAAATGACGATTTAATCCAACAGTTTACAATGGGATACTATGTTATTTCAATTTAAAGGAATTGCCTGAATATTTCTGATGTAGTTACTATACAACTGAAATAAATCGATTTTATCCTTTTTCTGACAAAATGGCTTAAATGTAACACAATTTACTAATTCAGCAAATTAGTCAGGAAGAGTAGTAATGTCATTGATTTGATAATCCAGAGACTAACGCTATAGAGAGAAGTCTTTAAGTCCCACCATGGCAGATGGCAAAAATTAAATTCAATGAATAAATCTTGACTACAAAGCAAGGCTTAGCAATGAGGATCATGATAACTATCATTGATAATTATTAAAAACCCATCTGGTTAATCCTTTAGGGAAGGAGATCTGCTATCCCTGCCTTATCTGCCCTACATGTGACTTCTGACCCACATCAATGTGACTGACTCTTGATTGTCCTTGAAATAGGTAATTGAGGATCAGCAACAAATGCTGGCATTGCGAACAATGCCCATGTCCTCTAAAAGAATAAAGAAATTGTACGGTCGATTTGACAAGCACACTGGCAATATAAAGGATGCTATGTAATTGTGATGATACTGACAACCTCCTACAAAAATTAGAAATTGGTACAAAATTTTGCATTTACCAGAGTGGGATTACTTTTCTCTGCTCTACCGATCATTGAAATGCAATACTTTAAAGAACGAAGTACTATTTTAACTGGAATCTAGACAGTTAACTTTTGTTTGGTCTGTGTGATGAACAGAACTTCCTGAGAGACCTATTCCTTCAACACAAGAAAATTATTTCAGATGACAAGCTGGATGAGTATACTGACACTATGGTAAGCATCCTTTATAATCTGTTGCAAACTCCACCTAGTACGGACAAAGTTTGTTTGTCTTTTTAAAATCAATGTTCACTTCAATATGAGCACTATAATTCACATCCCATTTACTCTGTAATTGCTTATGTCTCAACGCTAACATTTTATCTGCAATTTCCTTAATGTTCTGAGTATTCTATTCAGTGTATTTCTAACCAATTTGGACATTACTGTTTAATTTAATTGCATGTAATGGAAATATTGGGATGGATTTCTTGATGCCTACAGATGTTTACTTCAGCTGATAATGAATAAGTCTTTACAGTGAAAGAGTTGTCTACCTATAATTGGAAATCAGGGACATATTTTCCTTATCGTTGAAGCTAACACAAGTGGAGACTGAGCCTGGTTTATTAGTTCTGGTGAAAAGTCACGGAACTTGAAATATTAACTTTGCTTTCTTCCCACAGAAAGTTCCATCTGTACTGAGTTTCACCAGCAATTTGTTTTTGTTTCATATCTCCAGCATCCACAGTTCTGTGTTTTATGGTTTATAAGGGACTGGATTTCACCAATTTGTTCCTTCATCTAAGTTAATAATCATCCCCTAATTCTTTCTCTTATAAATTCCACTTTTGGCATTTTGTGTCACAAAGGAGAGGGAAGCAAGCAGGTTCCTTTAGAGTTTCCATTTTTGAGAGACTGTTGAAAGAATGAGTTACAGGGTCACCAAATTTCCCCTTTTAACTTTAGGGATGTATGTGATTTGGGCTTTGAACCTCTAGGGCTGAGTCAATAACAATGAGGGATTGGATGTACAATATCACAGATATTATACAGATTTTTGGTTTGTTTATCAAACAGATTATATTTCCTTCCCCTCAGAACTGAAGTCAGTTGCCACAACACTGGCTGACATCAGGTAACACTACAAAATTGAATCTAGGACCTCCTTGGTCTGCTGCCTCAGATTTACACCAGACAGTGCATTAATCAGCTGTACTGCTAATGCAGCCAATTGATTTTGTGTCACGTAAAGCTCACATTGATGATTATTTCCTAAGCAATGATAACACGTTGCTCAGTATTGTCTAAGGTACTTAAATCATTTATGCTATTTACATAATAGCTTTACGAATAGCTTTAATTGTGGTTATTGTTAATATTTCATTCAGAACATTTGCATGAGGTCTATGATAGTATTAATTTTAGAAAGTTATATTTGAGTATAATTTGACATTTTGAACAGAAGCAGAAACTGCCCCTATGCATCACCTTGTTGAACCCGTTCTCAAACTGAACCATTTCTTTAACTCCACTCATTCTTCAATCAAAAGGTGTTCCTGTGGAAATCCATCAATGCCTTTTCCTTCTCTCCCTGCAAACTGGAAAACATCATCTTTTTCAGGCTGGCAGGAATGTTATGAATGGTGTGCCTGGGAGGTCAGTGCTGGGGCCTTAACTCTACAATTTATATAAATGCTTTGGATGAAGGGACTGAGGATATGGTAGCTAAATGTGCCAGTAACACAAAAATGGTAGGAAGGTGAGTTAGGAAGAGGACATAAGTCCAAAGATGTGCAGGTTAGGTGGATTGGCCATGCTAAATTGCCCATAGTGTTCAGGGCTGTGCAGGCTAGGTGAACTAGCCATAGGAAATGTAGGGTTACAGGGATGGGATAGCAGGGTCTCTTTAGGTGGGATGCTCTTCGGAGGGGCAGTGTGGACTTGATAGGCCAAATGACCTGCTTAAACACTGTAGGTATTCTATGATAAGGAGCCAGTAAAGGGATATAGATAGGTTAAGTGAGTAGGCAAAAGTCCGGCAAATGGAATACGAAGTGGAAAAAGTCCAGAATTGTCCACCTCGGCAGAAAGAATAAAATAGGCACATTATCTAATTGGTGACCTGTTGTAGAGTTCTCATCTGCAGAGAGACCAGTGTCCAGGTACGTGAATCACAGAAGATTAGTATGCAGGTAATTTGGAAAGCTAATAGAATGTTAAGTTTTATTGCAAGGGGAATTGAATGCAAAAGTACAGAAGTTATGCCCTATATGTATATATATATATAGGCTAATACCTGGAATAAGCAGATTGCTTTATAAGGAAAAGCTAGACAGGTTGGCCTATATCCTCTGGAATTTAGAGGAATCTGAGGTGATATAATTCAAACAAAGAAGATCCTGAAGGGACTTGACCCGTGGACATTGAAAGGATGTTTCCTCTTGTAGGAGAATCTAGAGCCAGGGGTCACAGCTTAAAAATAAAGAGTCACCCATTTAAAACAGAGATGAGGAGAAAAAAGATTTCTCAGGGTTGAGAGCTTTTGGAATTCCCTTCTCCAAAAGGCAGTGGATGCAGAATCTTTAAATATTTTAAAGTCAGAGTTAGATATGTTTTTGATTACCAAAGAGATGATAGATATTCAGGAATTCAGAGTTGAGTTTAAAATTAGATCAGCCATGACCATTTTGAATAGGGAAGCAGGCTTGAATGGCCAAGCGGCCTACTTTTGTTCCTTGTTTGTATGTTTGTATCAATTTTGCTTCTTTCTCCTGTCTGTGTGTGTTTCTCTAATTCTTCCCCTCCTTTCCTTAAATTCTCTGTTTCCTTTCCTGGTGATAACCTATTGACTAATATCCATTGTAAGCTAATTAATTCCCAAGACACTTTGACTCCACTTCCTCCCACCTCAGTTCCATTCCCTTCTCCTAGTTTCTCTGTCTCCATTGTATTCTTTGTGAAATGCCAGCTGTGCATCCACAATGACTCTACTTTTTCTAAATTGAGAACTGCCCCACTCTTCCATGGTTGAACTGGACCCTTGACATTTTGTTCCATTTTCCAAACTCTGCTCATATCCTTTCTCCTCCTCTGTGAACCCTGTGGGGTTCCCCTAGTGAACTTTCCATGCATCAGCTTTCGCATTCAGTGGATCATCTTTTGCCATCTTGCCACCCCCAGTGTTGCCACAACCAAATATAACTTACCCTGGTCTACTCATTGTCAACCCATCCCCCAATATAATAAAATCTAAATCTAAATCTACACCCCCTCCACTTCCAACAACACCTTTTTCATGCATCTGCTTTTTTATATTGTTTGTCCTCATGATCCCACGCCCAAACAATCCTTCCAAGTGAAACAGTGCTTTGCATATTTTCAGACTAATTTAGTATATTGTACTCACCACTCAAAATGCTTTGCACTAGGGAGACAAAACATAGAATGTGACCACTTGATTGAACACATCTATGCAGTCGACAAATCTGACCCCAAGTTCCAAGTCTCCTGTCATTTTAATTCTGTTTCACTCCTGTTCTGGCCTCAACTACTCCTGTGAAGTCTGATATAAGCCAGAGGAATAGTACCTCGTCTTTCAGATACTTTACAGGATTTATTAGTGAGTTTAACAATTTCAGATCACCACTTCTATTCCCTGTTATTGGATAGAAGTTATTGACAATGATTCTGAAAATCCAATTTAGACAATCTCTAGACCCATCCTTGTTACTTCATATGTCTTTAAAAAGATCATCATCTCTTTTTTTTTTTTTGGATAATCATTCTTAATCTGTACTGCCTACCACCAATCACAAGCCAACCTTGTTAAAGCTGTCCAACTCCTGATCACCCACTGCCTCTGTACTTGCTCAAACCTGTTGCACCTCTTGAACTGTTAGCACTTCTCATAAAAGGTCAGCAAACTTTTAAAAATTAGGCTGAATTTTCATCATCTGATGTTGAGCAAGTCTGTGTCAACTGAACAAAACAGGATGAGTGCAGGGCTCCATTTTTAAACTTCGCCTCCTGACTCTTCTGCTTACTGTTTTCACTGGATCAGAAATGAGGTGAGTTACAACCCAACAATCACTAAGTGATGTCAGGGTCTAAATTTAAGTGTCTGCTGCAAATCTACATTGACCCTATTTTGTTATTGTTGTGGGACTAGATGGGTGCTGAAGGCTGTGGGAACCATACCAGATAAGCCTGTTCATGAACCTTGGGGAAGCCTGAGAAACCTTTTAACAGATAGCTTTGAAACCTTTGTCAACTCCAACTGTCATGATGTCTGATTTATGCATGTATTCAATGTATTGATTAAGCAAAGGGGTCTGACCTTAAATGATAAGAGACCATTATATTGACCAGACTGTGTAAGATTTTGGATGCATTAAATTCATATCTCCACTGGATAAAGTCCTCTACGTTAGGGAGAATCAGATATGAATGTAGGTAGATTGATTTTCAGAATGATTTAACATCCTGACTATTCACTAGTTACAGACCAATGAGTCATATAATAATACTGACAAGTCTTTGAAATGTCCATGTTTTGTTTTTAAGAAAGCCAATCAAATGTCTCTTAGTTAAAAAATATTCTCTTACGTTCTCATAAAACTGCCAGTCAAACACAAGTGTTGAGAATCCCACTGGTAAAATATTTAATCCTCTCAGCACTGCTTAACCTTGTCCAAATAAATAACTGTTGTAAATCTAGTTCACAGAAAAATAAATTGAACAAATTGATACAAAGCTAACAGTTCTCTTCAAGCTCTCTAAATGGCCCACCACAGGATTGAATATTTAGTTAGTTGTGGATCTAAGCCAAATATTCATAATGAGCTTCTCTGGAAATAGAAAACAAATACACTGCCATCTGCTCAATCTGATTTTGTTGATGCAGTGGCCAACTGGCCTCATTATGAATGCTTAGCTGAATTCCAAGAATGGCCTCAGCTCAGCAGTATTTATTTATTTATCCATCCATTTATCTAGCCTGGGATCACTAATGGCCTCCTGGTCTGTACCAACTGAGATCTGCTAATTCAACACGAGATGGTGTGCTGATGTCAGATTGTAACCAATCCAATGAAATATTGAGTAGGGAGAAAAGTGTTGAGTATCTTGTCATTTACTGATCAAATTGATCTGGACTACCCAACTGGGTAGGTTTACAGGATATGTTGTGTAGTGCTTTTAGTGCTCAGAAAAGATTTCTTACTTTTATGACAGTTTTATCTTGATTTTGAAAGATTTTAAAGTAATGTAATGGCATACATTGCTTTGATGTAAAATGTGAAGCTAATTTTATGGACTGGTCACTTACTAAAGGTCGTTACTGCTTTATTTCAGATGAAATTCTTCGATAAAAATAAAGATGGCCGCCTGGACCTCAATGACTTGGCAAGGTTAGATACTTACTATACTCAGCACAAAATCTGTTACAGGGAGTTGTTTTGCTGGAGAGAATTTCAGATTCATACCATCCTTTAAGTGAAAAATTACTTTCTGATATCCCTGTAGAATGACCTAGTTCTGATTTTAAGATTGTGTCCCATTGTACTGGATTTCCACACCAGATAAAACAGCCTCGCAGTCCCTATTCTAGCAAATCCTTTTATAACATTAAACACTAATGTAAATAAATTTCAATTTACACTTGAGGGAGATATAATCAAATTTCTGCTTCCTGTTTTCATAATAAAATGAAACCCTTATCAGACCCAGTTTTTACTATAGTGGTATGAGAATGCCATCTGTGCAGTAGAGTCAGATTCCGTGCTCACAAAAACTCCCAAAAATCGTGAGAATCATCCCTGAAAGTTTTTTTAACTTTGATACAAGTAGACTTTTTTTTAGTTAGGGTTGGACATTTAAGTAACTTCATGCCAAGGTCCACAGACCTTGTCCACATTTCAACATCATTGACATCTACCTAAAAATTCATAACTCCCACTCTATGGGCTTGGATGCTCGCTACAGTGGAAGCAAGCACTGTTTGAACTTTGCCTTCCTTTTTTTTCTCTATTCATTCACAGGATGAGGGCGTCACTGGCTAGGCAGCATTTATTGCCCAGAACAGATCCCTGTGGATCACTGCTGGTCACAGGCTTCTGGTCTGAAAAGCAACCCTCCAATATTACTCTCTGTCTCCTGCCATTAAGCCAATTATGTATCCAATTGAAATTGTTTATTTGCTAAACAATAAATACAGTGTGTTCAGGTGCAGAGCAGGCATGATTCAATGTTGCAATTGTTATTTTCCCCAAAAAGACTGATAACTTCTAAGAAGTATGCATTTCTCAGTGACCAATGCAACAATATTGGATTACAAGACTTTCCGCTAGAAAACTTTTGTTGTAACAAACACACTAAAATTCAGAGTTAATGTTGCCTAGGAGGCTTCTAATATACTAAACATCTAATACACTAAGACATGCTGGGAATGTCCTGCTCAGAGGTAGCTGCACTCTCCTTCGCTTGATCTCCCACAGGGCTGACAGCTTGGAGGTGGAGGGCCCAGCCATCTCTGGAGAGTCCTGTGAGAAGATGTCTGCAGGGCCTGTATGTAATTCCTCTTCTGGGTGAGTGCCTACTGGCACCAGCATGTCTCCTTTTGAGGAAGGAGCATCTGGTGTGAATTCGAAGTCCCTGTCCCCCGTTACCTTGTCATTGATGCTAAGGACCAGGGGTTAGAATGATGGGGTACAGTTTGTCCACCTTTCCAGCCAACATTGTGAGTGCTGTACCTGGCTCTCCAGAGCAGCCACCAACCAGTCTATGTATAGAGGCAGCCAGATACTGAGATGCCTGATTGGCAGGGTCCCACAGCATTGCTGCATTCCTGCAGCCATTGTGCCCTGATAAACCTGACTGCTGCTCCTGTGTCATCTTGTACATTTCACTGAAGTCACTCATGGTTGACACCATGGAGTCCGCTCCTGCCTGGGCTGAGCAGGTGCCTAGTCTCTGCCAGTACTCAAAGTGCCAATGACCTGGGGCATTTTTCCCATGACCACCTGCAGAGGCATGGCAGTGATGTGCTCACCAGCACGTGTTCCTGACTCTAGTCGAGCTAAAATTTTTGCCGAGGTGTCATTATCTTAGGGTGCAGGAGACAGTCTTGCCTGTGCATCATCTGAGGCACAGATGAAGGAGGGGCGAAGCTTGTAACACTGCCCTCTTGGCCACAAAGGCTGTGTTGATCCACTCATGCCTTCAGAAGCCAAAGGAGCATGTTAACAAAACATTCACAGTGGGGGTAATACAACAGCACAGCAATGGACAATGCTTCCTAATTGGCTGCTGGAATATGGCTATTTCCGCGTCTGCACAAAACCAGGCCTGGTCCTTACCCAGCGATGAATAAACTCCTCTCTGCATAGGGGGTAAGGAGCCATATGTAGGCGCTCCATCACCCATCCTGGCTCTTTAGGCCCTATTATGGGCAATTTTCTCCTGGAATAAACAAAGGCAGTGGCTAAGAGTTGTAAGTAACTGGTACAGATATTATTGCTGGTACAGGTGGGAGAATAGTGGTGAGGTATCGCAAGTGAGTGAATACAGAGGTATGCAGGGTTAGAATTTTGGGGGATTTGGATGGGTGAGAACAAGCAAGGGAAGATGTTGCAGGCAACAGTGAAAATTTTAGAGCCTTGGTGGGATGTTTATGCAGTAGCAGAGATAAAGTGAGTGTGAGGTAGCAGAGAGATGATGGTGACATTTATCCTGGCAGACTGGAGAAGGTCATTGACATTCTTCCTACAGTGCTGGGAATTTCTCTGGATGGTTGAGAATACATTGATCCGGTGGCAACCTTTTGTCTGGGTTGGTAGGGTCAAATGTCATGGCTATCATGGCCGATGCTGGCTCAAGAGGATAATCATCCTTTGTACTACCCCATCTGGCCAGGACCTCCAGGTCCCTGTCTGCAAAGTGAGGCACTAATTTCCCATTGTATACCGTGTCTGGGGAAAGTGTCATAAATCATACAGGGCAGTTTCAGACTTACAATGCTTGATTAGGTGCACAACGGCCTTTTAAATATGGTGCTAGTGCCAAAAATCTATCATGTCCCAATTGTGGTGAGTATTTCTACCTGCCTTGAGTGGGAGAATCAGCCGAGGAAAGCATCATTGCGGTATGATGCATGGAACTTGACAAAAGTTACACTTAGCTGATCTCTGATAAGATTCAGCTCATTGTCTTGTCTTTAAAGTCCGAAGCACTTGCCAGCTTTAACAAGATCTGTTCTCCCTGACCCACCAAGGTGAATCTTCTAAATCTCCTTCACTCAATCTTCTGAGCATAATTGAATGGACTTCCAGTAGCAAAGTACTCTCCAGTTAATCCTTAGTTTTTAAACTTACTGCAAGTCCTTTCCCTTTGCCAGCCCTCTGTTTAGTGGTAACCCAAAGTAATCCTTTCCAGCCTGGCATTGCAGCACTTGATTTATTCTTGTCCATGCAAATCCTACTGTCTGCGAGTCTACGCAGTAGCAAAACCTGCTGCATCCCTTTCACGTGACTGTTGTCAAATTTGTAATTGATTTTGAATGAATTTCAATTTGCCTTTCTGCCGCCTTGTTAAGCAGGATGTGTCGCTTTGTCTTCAAGTAGATTTAGTATCAGGCTCAATCCTGCGCAGATTCTATTGGATTTTCCTTCTCCAAAACTATTCCAATTTACCTTGAATAGAAAGGGACAGTTTAAAACACAGCCATTTAACAGCATGCATCTGTCACACAATGAATGTAGAACAGGCCTGTTTTGTTCTTTATAAAAACCGAAAGAACTGTGGATGCTGTAAATCGGGAACAAAAACAAAATTGCTGGAAACCTGCTGAGCCTCTCCAGCGATTTTGTTTTTGTTCCTGTTTTGTTCTTTGTCACCTGTCCCACCCACCTTAGTTTTAGTACTGTAATACAATGAGCCTTTAACCAACGGAGTAGTAACTGGTGTTTATAATTGCTTTATGATTTGGATTAACCATTTGATTTCTTTTCTCCCTTTTGAAGGATTCTGTCACTGGAAGAAAATTTCCTTCTGCAGTTCAAAATGGATGTAAGTTAAACTTTTCTTGTATTTTTGTATTACCACTCTGTGGCCTGACTGAAATGACAGAGTACCTGCACGTGAGCAATTTGTTCGCATCAGGTAGGCCCTGTTGGTGAACAAAATACACTGAGTGTGGCTTGGACTGAGTGAGAAATTGGGAGTTTGGTAAACAAGAGAATCTTAAGGTTCAATCTCTTTAAAATCGAAACTGATCTGCATTTGGCACGTAATGTAATTTACTGTTTGAGGTTTGTTCTAGCCTTAAGCAGGTAGATACTTTCATCAACTTATTCAGAGATGTTACTATATATACCTCTGAGATGTGAATCTGGGCCTCCTGGCTCAGTGGAAGAAACAATGCCACTGCATCACAAGAACTATTTCCCTCCTCCCCAGCCTTAGGCAGGTATAAACAAGGCCTTTATAGGAAAGTAGCTGTGATTAATTAGATATCTGGTTTCATTAGCTTTCAGAGGGTGTTCTTGTGGTGCAGTGGTAGTGTCCCTACCCTGGAGTGGGAGGCCTGGGTTCAGGACCCTCTTGCTCCAGAGGTATGTAATAACGTCTCTCAACAGGTAGATTAGAAAGTATTTCATTTACTTTCAGTAGCGGCAACAGAGCTGACTCTCCTCTGATTCTTGGGTAGCATATATATTAGGTCCGAGTATACCTCAACGGGAGTGCATCTTGGACTAAGTATAAAGTCGGGAGTTTCATGAGTAGTGGAGTAGTTGGTTCTTGCTTCAATAAAAGGTAAGAATCTGATTGATGTATAGCTGGTAAGTTATTCTACATATAATGAATAGTTACAAAGTTTAAGTATAGCAGGGCTGCTCAGCCAGATAGAATGCCCGTTCTGTGACATACAGGAAGGCATGGACAAACACATCTGCGCAGAAGAGACAACGACAGTAAAAGCTTAGGTTCCAAGTTTCAGAATTCGAATGACAGCCTCTATCACAGTGGTGCATCTACGAGTCAGGGAACTACATGATAGCACATTTTAGAGAGGTAACCACACCGCAGGTTAGGAGCACACAGGCAGAGAATGAATGGTGAGTCCAAGAGAACCAGGCAGGTAGTAATGGTGTTCCTGAGACGATCTTACTTGGAAACTGATGTTCCATTTTGGATACTGGTAAAGGTAATAGTTCCTCAGAGAAGTGTAGCCATAGCCAAATCCATGGTACTATCAGTGGCTCAATTTCACAGGAGAGGAGGTCAAAGAGTAGAAGAGCAATCATGAGTTGGGAGAGGGGATTCACTAATTAGGGGAAGAGATAGACCTTTCGTGGACCACAGATGTAATTCATGTATGATCTGTTACTGTCGTGGTGCCAGGTTTAATGATGTCATAGAGTGACTGCAGGATACTATTCTGGATGGAGGTAAGCAGCCATAAGTCGTGGTCTACACTGGTACCAATGACTTAGCAAGAGGGACGAGGTCTGAGAAGCAGACTTTAGGGAGCTAAGGTAGGAAAGAGATTAAAATTCAGGACTTCAAAAGCAGTAAAAACATGATTAATTTCTGTGCCATATGATAGTAAGAATGGGAGAATTAAGTATTTGAATGCACGGCTAGAGAATTGGTGCAGAAGAGAGGGCATCAGATTTCTGAGCCACTTTTGGGGCAGATGGAACTTGTATAAGGTGGAGGAGTTGTACCTTTGCAGTTTATTTCCAAGAGAATAAGGACCTAAGAGCGAGCTCAGATTGGTGGGAAGAAAAACTAATAACAGGAAGTAGAATAATAGTAAAAAGACAATCAAAGTGAAAGCAAGCATCAAATACGATCAAAATGTGGAGTAACGTTGAACCCAACTGAATACAATTGTATAATTGTAAAATTTTCAAGAATAATCATTTTAATTGATAATTCAAGAATTATCAATTTTATTTTGGGTGCAAGAATTTTGGCAAATCAAGCATTTCATCTATCTTTCAAAAAAAAGATTTGATTTTTGTTTTGCCCTTGTATATAGGCCTGTCGCCTGGAGGACAGACGGAAAGATTTTGAGAAGATTTTTTCTCATTATGATGTGGTGGGTTTTATTGTCGTTCTTAAATACTTTAAAATATTTGTGTTTTATGTATGTAAGTGCATACATACACTTTCTGACAAAATTAGAAATCAATTGAATTTTGGATGCAGAGACTCAAATGAGTTTATCTTAACACCGAACATATGACACCTGTAATCATAATTATTCAAGGGATCTTGCTATGTTTTAACTGCTTGCCACTTTTAAATTATGAAAACTTAATAAAAAGGAGCAGGAGCAGGCCAATCACCCATTGAGCTGTGTCCATCATTCAGTAAGATCATGGAGTCACAGAGATCTACATCACAGATAAATGCCCTTTGTTCCGATGAGTCTACACCTGTCAAAAATAAGCACTTAACTGTTCTAATCCCATTTTCTACCCTTGGCCATAGCCTTGTTTGCCTTGACATTGCAAGTGCACATCTAAATATTTCTTTAATGTTATGATGCTTTTGGCCACTAACACAGTTAAAGGCAGTGAGTTCCAAATTCCCACCACCCTCTGGATGAAAATAGTTTTCCCCCACATTCACTCTAAACACACCTGCCCCTTACCTTCAGTCAGTGCCCCCTGGTCATTGATCCCTCCACCCAACGGGAAAAACGTCTTCCCATCTACCCTGTCTATGCTCCTCATAATTGTATACATCTCCATCATCTCACCCCTTGAGGAAAATAACTCTATTCTGTCCAAACTTTTTTCATAACTGAAATTTTCCAGACCGGGCATCATCCTGGTAAATCTCCACTGCACACTCTCCAGTGGTATCATCTCCCTCCTATAATGTGGATTCCAGAATTGTGCATAGTACTGTAGCTGTGGTCTAACCAACATTTTATATACACCCAGCATAACTCTATGCTAATAAAGGCAAGTATCCCATATGCCGCCTTAACCATTTTATCTACTTGTCCTGCTTCCTTAAGGGACTGATGGACATGCACGCTGATCTTGGGTGTTTCCCAGTGTCCTGCTGCTCTTTATGTATTCCCTTGCTTTGTTTCCTGTGCACCACCTGAACAATCTGGATTGAATTCCATTTGTCGCCAATCAGCCTATCAATATTCTCCTATAAGAAATAATCTTCCAGCATCCATACTGTCAATCACCTCAGAATGTTTTATGTTTCAATAAGATCACTTGGACTTTCTCTGTGGGCTGTGGAGGCTTGCAGAGATGTTATTTCCTGTAAATTGAAGTAGGCCCATGCTAAAAGAAGATCTTACAAGTTCGGGAAATATGATTGGTAAACCCCTTTCAGTTGTCAACCCTCAAAAACTGACTGCCCCTGCATCCTCCCATGTAGTACACCTCAGAACAACAAAACTTGCAACTTCATTTACTGTTCTCTCTTGCATTTCCAATGGCATTGTGGACCTTTTGGAGGAAGATTGGAGCAGTCTGCCTCCAACTTGAGTGACATTAAGTCTCAAATTGACACTGATATTCATGTTCATGGAGAATGAGATGTGACAATTAAACACATGCCTTCCCACACTCATGGCCTGCACATAGGATGGAGGAAGGACTTTCCATGGCCATTTAGCACCTCAGCAGAGTGCTCTTCAGCTCTTGAGTAGCAGGGAAGTGATGGTGGGCCATGGAGTGAAGATAGAGCAAGGGCATACAGAATTGGGGACTGTGCTCACCTCAGCTTCATGTCTCATTCTTCAGCCTGTTCTCTCTCTCCACCCTTACCCCTTCTCTCTTTGTCTGTCTGTCTGTCTGTCTCTCTCTCTCTCTCTCTCCCCCCAAAACCCCAACCACCATGTAAGGTTGGCAGGTAATGATATCATTTACAATTACGACAAAATCTACATTGGTACAAAGTAGGATGCAGCCTTCCCATGCGATACTTTTAATCTGTACATGTTGAAACTCTAGAATGTAGCTACACCTACTCTTGCTGGAATCCCTTTAAATTTAAATCTTTCCATTGACAGGAGTGGGCCATCAACGTGCCTAAACTATACAACTGGCTGGGAGACTTATGAGACTAAACAGTCTCAGCAAAACCCACTTCTCTCAGGTTACTACCCTACATTCTACACCAGCTATGTCACCCTACACGCTACATTCCCACCACCCCCAATCCTGCAAGTGAGTCCATTTGGTTAAAATTGTGCCCAGTGGGTCAGCAGAGAGGAAAATGGGACAAAATCAGTCTGGTGATTTACTGACATCCAAGAGGTAGATGTCTGACTGTTTCCCTACAGGAAATATGATTCAATGGTGATCATCACCATGGCAGGGTGCAAGTGTTTGTTAAAACTCTCTCACCTGAATTGAGAGAAGACCCAGGATAGGCTATTGGCTTAAGTCCTCCACACAAACAAGTTACTGAATCTAGATATATTGTTCTGCGGTGAATCTGGTTTCTGATTGCAAATTATTAAGTCAGAACCATGAATAAGCTAAGTTACTGTTTTGTAAAAAAAGAAGCACGATAAAAAGCTTGAATGCATTGTACCAGTGTTTATTTATAAACACCTTCTGGAAAGGTAATGGAGTTGGTATTCCGGAAAGATATGATTGAATGAACTGCTAGGCCTTTTTCGTCTGAACAGGAAGTAATACACTTTTTGTTGACTCCCAACTGCTTGCTTTATTGCAGAGTAAAACAGGTGCTCTGGAAGGTCCTGAAGTAGATGGATTTGTTAAGGATATGATGGAGTTGGTGAAGGTGAGTTTATGGCAAAGTGAATTAATATTTCATTTTTAAATAAAAATCTGTTTAAATCATATAGCTGCTCACATCAGTCAGGATTTCAATGTCATTTTCACAGTATCAGAGTATTGATAGTATAACACATAGGAAAGCAGGATTTGCTTCTTCAATATTTCTATAGTCATTTATACATCAGATAAAATAATAAATATTCACTTCTAAGGCTTTTGACAAAGAATATTCAGATTAGGCATCAAAATCTGATTTTTGAGAAACTGTTTCTTACATTAGTTCTTAAGAAATTAGTCTAAGTGCTTTTTTAAAACTTTAGTTAATTAGTAAAGCCAACTTGTTTTATATTAGTTCACTAACAAGGCTGGGATTTATTACATTAGTTCATTAGGTCAGTATTTATTATATCAGTTCACTGGCAAGACTGGCATCTATTATATTGTTCATTAACAAAAGTAACACTAATCAATCACTGGAGAAAGGGCAAATATGTCGTGAATATAAGTTCCTACTTCTGCAGTGATTAGTCAGAGCTGTGTGCAGTGAGGTATTCCAAAGGTCATAAGGCTTAAATCTCCACATTTCAGCATGTAGGTAGATGTAATTAGGGAGGGCCAATTGGCTAGACTGGTGTTTGCAATGCAGAGTGATGCCAATAACTCGGGTTCACTTCCCACACCAGCTGAGGTTGTCATGAAGGTCGCACCTTCTCAACCCCACCCCTCACCTGAGGCATGGTGACCATCAGGTTGAATTCACCGTCAATGAATCTTTCTGAGAGAGCAGTCCTATGGTCCTCTGGCATATGGTGATTTTGCCTTTTACAAAAAATTTTTCTTTACAAAAATACCTTGAACAATATTATTTGATGTTCCATACAGTGACCTGACATAGCAACATAAGAGTGTATCGTTGTTTATACGCATGTCTCATTGTGTCTTGAGACGAAAGCCTAAAACAAACAATACTTTACAAATCCAAAGGGCCAAGCAGCATTTCAAGGGTTTTGCAGGAAATGAGGAAATGTTATCAGTACTAAATTAACAAAAATTGTGTAGCAGTGAACACACCACTTACAAATGTGATAAAATATACATTGGTGATACCACTCATTGTAGGTGCACTCTCACCTCATGAACTGTAGCAGTTAAAGAAGAAAGCTAAGGATGCTATAAACACTGGTCTTGCTAGTGAATTCATGCAGTAAATATAGTCTTGCTGGCTTTAATTGTAAATGATTGTAATGAATTTTGGTCTTGCTAGTAAACTAATATGCTGGCCTTCGTAGTGAACTAATCTAAAATATGCCAGCTGTACAAGTCAACTGATGTAATAAATGCTTGCATTGCTAGTGTGTATTCATTCATTTCTTGTTACTGAGAGAGGAGGCAGCTGTCATCAACTCTGAATAGTGCATTCAGCCTCTTGGATTGGTTAAAAAAAAAAAGTTGAACTAATTCTATAATGGAATAATGTTTAGATTATAACTGGTGTCAACCCTGCAAAGTGTCTTCATTGCCAGAATTCTCTTTTAAACCTACAATATTTATAAGGAGTGGGAAGGGTCTGAATGAGGTTCAAAAATTACTGAGGAACCTAGTGATGTGAAAATACTGCCAATCTCAACCACAGGAGGCCATGGACAAAATGTGGCTCTGTCTCCCACCTACAAATTAACCAAATAGGGTTCAGAGGATGGGTCACTGGAACCAAAACATTAACTCTGATTTCTCTCCACAGATGCTACTAGACCTGCTGAGATTTTCCAGCAATTTCTGTTTGTTTCTGATTTCCAGCATCAACAGTTCTTTTGGTTTATTTTAACCAAATGGATAGCCTGACAGGAGGGCAAAGAGCTCCTGCAATGTGTCTCTCTATTCAGCAATATTCAGGATCTGGTTTTCTGTATATGTAGACTCTGAAAACAGTTCTCCACAGTCCCTACCATGTTGATCCAACAATACTTGCACACGATTAATGCTATTTTGGACAGGCAATCAGATTTTGATAGATGATGATCACATGTCGTACCTCCTCCTGTGAACTATAGTGCGAACAGGTTTATTGTCAGACTTTCCCTTTGGGAATACATGCACTAACCTGCTGCTGTGATAAGATCTAATCACACGGTCTTCAGATATGGGTTGCTGGATACCAACACACCCTATGTCTCATGCAGCTTGCCAAGCTTGTCAAATAGGGAATTTCCCATGGACCCCACTGTGACCTGAGCCCATTGATGCTGGTAAAATTATACCAATTGGCACAGACTGACAAGAACCTGAATGTCAGCTAGAGAAAATGAATAAAGATATTGCATAAATGGCCTTCAAACTTCTGAATCAATTTGCTAAAAGTTCCTTTCAAACTTACTGCCAGATTCAACACAACACTTAGCAACCAGCACAGTCATCATATCTGGGTGAAATTTGCACCTAGTGCTGCTGTAGCTCAATTGACATAAAATAGTGTTGAAGTTACCCATTTTCTTTATCATTATAATAATATTAGGAACCTCCTGCCTGTTATGGATGGGAACCTCCTAAGCATACTGTCAGAAGTGCATGTCTTATGCAAAAGGAATAGAGATATACAATGCTAAGCACTCATGAGTCACCGAAAACATGATAGCACTGTTGCTTCTTTAGTAAACTCACATTTTTTTCTTGTTTTGTTCAGCCAAGTATTACTGGAGTTGACTTGGACAAGTTCCGTGAAATTCTCTTGCGCCACTGTGATGCAAACAAGGATGGAAAAATCCAGAAGTCAGAGCTTGCACTGTGTCTTGGACTGAAATTAAACCAATGAGAAAACCATGCAGTGAATTATTCCACACTGTCACAGAAATGTTGACAGCAAAGATTACACTTATACAAGCAGCATTACCCATGATCATAGAAGCACCAATGTGCTACTAGCTTAAAAGGAGAAGTGGGTGTGATAAATTAATTATCCAATGGGGCAATTCAAAACTTGTATTGAAAAAAAGTGTTAATAGATCAGGGGCTTTTGAAATTGCATGCGGAGATTTGACTTTAGGCTCTAATTTTGACACTGATGTAAATTGAAAGATTACAGCTGACTATAATTGGAGTGTTGATATACAGAGATCAAGCTCCATCCAAACATTTTCACATCACAGATGTAAGGCACTTTCTATGCATTTTGACAGAACATTAAATGAATTCAGTTGGTACACTTGTGTAACAAACAATAAAAGCAAAAGTGTGCACTCCCAAAAATAAATTTTGTGAAATATTAAGAATATTTTAAGAAAAGGTAAAGGACATATGCATCAGACAGCAACATCCAATAGTGCCTCTCAGAACATTAGTTATCATACAGTTACAATAGCAAGTTGCACCCAGTAATAAATTAACTAAGAAACATTTGACATGCTGCCAGTGAAGTCTGCAGTTATATTCAGTGTCTCAGGGTACTGGTGGTATCTGCTGAATTTCTGCTCATTTCATTTGCAACTAATCTGACTTTACCAGAACAATTAACTGGAATATAATGTACTGTTTTCACCAAATAGTCAGGGTAATGATTATCATTTTGCATTAAAAATTGCTCTATTTGTTTTAACTATCCCATCATATTACATTATTGCTGTGAAATCTGTGGTAATGGAGAACAATAAAAGATTATAGTGATTGTCAAATGGGGTTGATGCTTGGAAATGTTTTAATTCAATTTTTTTTGTCCTTATCTATAGAAAAAAGGCCATTTCTAAAGGTGAGAAAATACATTCATTAGCAATTTTTTGGGATAATACATGTGCCGTCAAAATTCTAAAAGAACATCTGCACTGTGAGCGAGCACACCTCTGCAGCAAATCCTACCACTCGATTGGTGAAGGTGAATTGAAAGTCCATTTCACGTTTGCAGAGCAGATGAATCAATGTCAATCAGCAGCAACTGTGATTTTGCATCAGTGCTGCCATTTTAGAGCGCCAAGACTGAGATTGCATTAAATGTGGGTGGGCATCTTCGGGGGTGATGACTCACCCTCACCAGGGATAGAGCCAATCAGATCAAGCTGCAATCTGTAACTTAAAAGCTGACTGGCAGGCTTCTCTGCATACCACGAGCTTCATGTCACCAGTGTCTGCCAGTAAATCAAAGACTGGGATCCTCAGGGAGCTGGAAAGTGTTGCTAGAGATTCAGGCTGTTCTGCCATGAAGACTTGTAGTGACAAGCAGATGAATGGATTCTCTTAGGAGAGAGGGCTTGGGGGTGGTGTTGGGGAGGCAAGGAAAGAGGTATTCAGCAACACTCTGCTACCTGCCACCTATACTTCCAATTATCCTCAGAATGGGGCAAATGGAAGCCCCTCCCCCTCTCCAACTCCGTTTGCTCTGTATGGAAAACAGCCCACTTTTCTCACCTATCAGGAGGCAGTTAATAGAGCCAGATGTGGGCTGAGGGCCTTAAGTGGCCAGTGACCACATGAGGGCTTTATTTGGTAGCAAGTTGGTAAGGTTGACCATGGATCTCCTTGTCCAGAAATGAATACTGAGATGGTGGAGTGGGGGGAGGGGAGGGGGTGGTATTCTGGAAGTGCCAACCACAAATTATTGGCACTTTCTCCAACCTGCCCACATCTCTAGGCAGGAGAAAATCCCATCCCTAACTTCAGCTAATGCCATCTCTTAACCTTTTACAACTAATATACTTTAAACATCATGAAGAACATCCTTTTTAAAAGATCATCAACCTCAGATTACGTACTGCTTGATTTATTCTGGGAGTTGCTACAATTCTGTAAGTGATTGATGCTTTATATAGCTGGAGTAGTGGGACATGTGCTAAAGACTTCTGCGCACGTTAGTTTCTCCCAGACATGAATGTCTCTGTAGGCATTTCTTATGGCATGCGGCATGCAGCATGATATGGAGAATGAACAATGGTCCAGCACAGCTGAACAAATGCAGGTGGAGGAGGAGTTAAGGAGCTCTTAGCAGGAGGCCATATCTACGCAGGGTGTTCAGGAAGCAATCCTCTAATCTGAACTTTGTATATGAGACATCTGTACGCAGACCCATCTTGACTAGGACAAGGTTTGTTTTGCCAGTGGCTGTCAAAGCCTGTAATAATGAAATTTTGTATATCTGGCTCCATCCAGATAGCAACTCTGTTTGCCATTGACATAAGATTGCATACAATAGGTCACTGTGTTTTTAGTTCAAAAATAGGCAACTAAATTTCTTTCACACCAGGGAAAATTCAGCAGAGTAAGCATTCATTTTGACTGGCTTCACTATGGCATAGGGCACACTTGACTGCATACACACTGCTTCGTGAGTACCAATTTCAACTTTACACTATGCTGAAGCAACAAGGATTTTCACTCCCTTTAATGTCCCACTGCTATTTGAACAAAGAATTCAAATCATGCAGGTCACTGCATTTGAGTCACTCGATGAAACATAGGGTGAGCACTGGGTGACAAATGCAATGAGGTGGCAAAGTAGCTGATGGCTGTGCAACCCACACAAACATGATACCATGGATATAATGAAATCCAAGCTGCCATAAAAAATATATTAGAGCAGACCTTTGGGAACTGAAGCATTTTTGCTGTCTGTACCACTCTGAAGGAGCAGTACAGTATTCAAGATTCAAGATGATGTGCTGTATGCTGTACAACTTTCACATCCTGAGTCACAACTGCTCTACAGTGAGCAGCAGTGTGAAGAGCTGGAGGAAAATGAAGAAAGATGAATGCAAGGGAGAATCTCAACAGCCATTTTTCTCCCATGTGGTCTGTGAAGAATCCACTACTTCTGTCACTTCCATTACAGTGTCCCTGTGGACACAATGCAAAAAATAAAAGCCACACAAAATCTTGTCATTTTGCATGCAAGTTATATGATGCAGAAATTTTCCTTCCCTGGAATTGTGATAGTATGGCAAGTACAGTGACAAAATAGGGTGAGAATTAAAAAAGCTGATTCTTGATGCCAAAAAAAAACAATTTTCCTCTCAAGTCTAAAATGTTAACTTCAGAATTTTGCCTATAAATTAAAACTAGTTTATTTCCATATATTTGTATGGTATGAATACCCCAATTTGATCTATTTGCACTTACAATTCTCTTCTCCTCCACCAAGAAACCAGATAACACAAATTCCTGACAGGTAAAACACAGCATGTACCTGGTGGCTGTAGTCTGATATGAGAAATTAATAAATGTAACTACTTGAAACAGAAGGAATGCAGAAATTAGCAATAGCAATCAGCAATTAGCTTGCAATCTGTCAAAAGGAAGATGTTAGCTATGATTAAAGATACATAGGTCATGTAGAAAAATTCAAGATAATCAGGCAAAATCAACATGGTTTTGTGAAAGGGAAATTATATTTAATCAATTTATTGGAATTCTTTGTGGATAAAGAGGAATTGGTGGATGTACTATATTGAGACTTCTAGAAGGCATCTGATAAGATACCATACTAAAGGTTATTGTGGAAAGTAAATGCTCATAGTGCAGTGAATCAAAGATTGGCTAGTTAAAAGGAAACAGACCAAGTATAAATAAGTCATTTTCTATTGACTTGTAAAATTTTCCTGATTCTCAGGTTTACCACTAATGTTTGCCATCTTGTACATTTTTTCTTTCAATTTGATACTTTCCTAACTTCCTTGGTTATCCCTGGTCAGTTTATCCCCTTTCTGGAATCATCCTTCCTCACTACGGTATATCTTTGCACTGAGTCATGAACTATTTTCTTAAAATAAAAACAAAGTTGCTGGAAAAGCTCAGCAGGTCTGGCAGCATAGGTGAAAGAAAAACAGAGTTAACGTTTTGGGTCCAGTGACCCTTCCTGAGAATGGTTCTAAGGAAGTGTCATCGGACCTGAAACGTTACCTCTGTTTTTTTCCTTCAGAGATGCTGCCAGACCTGCTGAGCTTTTCCAGAAACTTTGTTTTGTTCCTAATTTACAGCATCTGCAATTCTTCCAGTTTTTATTTTCTTAAAATGTCTGCCATTGTTCCTCAACAGTTTTTTTTTCTGCTAAACTCCTTTTTCAATGCACTCCAGCTGACTCTGTCCTCATCCACCTGTGATTGCCCTTATTTAGTTGTTTTCAACCCATGTTTCTTCTCAAACTAAATGCTAAATTCAACCATGTTATGGTCACAGTTCCCTAGGTAATATTGTACTCTGAGACCATTTATTAAACCAGCCCATTACACACTACTAGATCCAAAATAGCCCAAACACTGGTTGGATCCACAATATAATGTTCTAGTGAGCGGTCGCAAATATACTCTAAGCTGAATCTTATAAAATTTGGCAAAATTACAAGTTGTGTCAAATTTTTTGGAGAGATTTTTTTTGCCATGAGGCCTAATATGTTTTGTCATTACATCTTGCCCAAACTCACCTCATTAACAACCTACCTCAAACTTAGGGCATCTGTCATATCTGATTCCAGCCCATCTTACCACGCACTGTTCCAGGAAAACTCCTCCACAGCTGGGATAGATGGATCTTCTTCTGATGGACAAGCCATAACTAATGGGGTGCCACAGGGTTTGGTCTTCAGACTCCATCTATTTACAATTTACTATTAATGACTTGGATGCAGGGATAGAATGTACTATAGCCAAATTTGCAGAATATACTGATGTAGATGGGAAAGTAACTTGCAATAAAGAAAAAAGAAATTTATTAATGGATACAGATAGTTAGATGAATGGGCTAAAATTTGGCAGATGGAGTTTAATGTGGATAAGTGCGAGGTTATCCATTTTGGACGGAAGAATAAAAATGCAACGTATTATCTAAATGGAGAGAAACTCCAAAATACTTTGGTGCAGAGGAAGCTGGGTGTCCTACATGAGTCACAGAAAGTTAGTATGCAGGGACAGCAGGTAATGAGGGTGAATGGAATTTTGGCATTTATAGCTAAAGGAATGGAGTATGAAAGCAAGGAATTGTTGCAATTGTACAAGACATTGGTGAAACTTTGTTGGGAGTACTGCATGCAGCTTTGGTCCTCTCACTTGAGGCAGAATGTAATTGCACTGGAAGCAGTTCAGAGAAGGTTTGCTAGATTATTCCAGAGACGAAAGGCTTATTCGTGAGGAGAGATCGAACCGTTTAGGCTTATACTTGCTAGAGTTTAGAAGGACGAGAGAAGAGGTATATAAAATGCTAAAGGTGATTGACAAAGTAGATGTAAAAAGAACATTTCCCCTTGTCGGACAAACTGGCATGAGAGGTCATAGTTATAGGCTAAGGAGTGACAGATTTAAAACAGAAGTAAGGAGAAATTATTCAGTGTTGTACACCATGGAAACAGACCCTTCGGTCCAATTTGTCCTGGCCAACCAGGCATCCCAATCTGACCTAGTGCCATTTGACAGCATTTAGCCCATATCCCTCTACACCCTTTCAATGCATGTATCCATCCAGGTGCCTTTTAAATGTTGTAATTGTACGAGCCTCCACCACTTCCTCTGGCAACTTGTTCCATACACGCAACACCCTCTGCATTAGAAAGATATCCCTCAGGTCCTTTTTAAATCTTTCCCCTCTCACCTTAAACCTATGCCCTCCAGATTTGGACTCCCCCACCTGAGGAAAGATACTTTGGCTATTCACCCTCTATATGCCCCTCTTGATTCTATCAATCTCTGTAACATCACCCCTCA